TATCGTCATAATCATTTATATCTTAAAGTTTATATGCTGGAAAATTTCACCCAAAATTCTATGTGTTCTGCAAAAAAATTTATATGTGTTCACATATGCAGTTAGTGATACAGTATACTGTTTTGTAAATTTAAATGCACACAACCACATGACGAATGAACAGCGGAATGGTAATATTCACAAAAATATTTAGTAACCGCAACGAGATACCGCGCCCATGCGGCATTCTTTTTATTTTACTGGAAAGACAAATGCTCAAACAATGGAGTAGTTTTCTTGACTTTTCCAGAGTATATATAATAGAGTTTTATATAGTATAAGACCTATATGCATTATCAAGCAGTTTACAAATCGTCCAATAGTCCATTATTTTCTTTCAAAATATCATTGAATTTTCACAAAAAAGGAGAGAGAGCAATGTATGATAAAACATAAATGAAGGAAAACATAAAATTGCGCCAGAGTTTATATTTTAGCAGGAAAACATCGAAACACCCTTGTCTGAGAATCGACTGGTGAGTTCCCGCTTAAAGCCACTCTCCACCCTATAAGTACAGAGAGACAGAACAGAAGACGAAGTGGGTGGTACGGTGTCGCAGAAACGGCCTGAAGATTAGCGTTAATTACAGAGTTGAGCCGTGCCAGGGTTGGGACGGGGCTCTAGGTATTTGTCACTCGGCACTGCTCTCGACTCCCGCTTCTCGTTCTGAATATTAATAATCTCCACCGGCCTTCGCCACCCCTGCCCCCCTCCCCTTTACTCTCGCGACATCCGATGAATTGCGCGGCAGACGCTACTCATTATGCTGACTGCTTGATTTCATCATCCTCAACGGTACGAAAAATTAATCGCCCTGCTATCGAGATCAGGAATAAAGAATCCTATCGGATATTAACGGCGCCATTCGCTTGATGGTTGACGCGTACTAGAGAACACACTTTGTTAATATGCTAACGAATTCAATATTTTTTGAAGCTTTTATTCATAAATTTCAGATTTTTAAAGATCCAGTAAGGTTGGATAAAAACATTTTCGAATTAAAAAAATGATCTATTTAAGACTAAATTTAATGTATACGTTTTATAGTTACCGTTCTTGTCAATTAAAAGAATATTGATATAATAAGATTATGTGAAAAAAGTAATGTTGAAATAATGCTAGTTATAAGAATCTCATATGTTTTATAATGCATTGATACATAACTATTGAAGATATCAATTTTATCAATTGTTTATCAATTGTTGTGAAAATTTCAAGTATTATTAGGTTGAAGTAAACAGCATTCTCTTTTTTTCTAGTAAAGATAACCGTTTTCCAAAAATTGAAGGATCGCACTTTCAAGTACGATGTTTCCTCTTCCCACGAGTGATGTTGATCAATCGATATCGCCCATTCCCGTCCTTTCTGTGGTCGGTCCCTCGATGGCGGTCCCATTCCCGCGCAAAACGCTCAGATATTCAAAGTCGGGGAATAGTTTATTCATGGCCGGCTCCAAGAACTTAGAAAGATATTGGAAGCGCCCAGGAGAGAGAGTAAAGATGGAGAGAGAGAAGAGAGAGAGAGAGGGATAAAGAGGCAAGAGGGTGGAGGTTGCAGGGGGCCGAGAGCGAGAAGGCCCGAGCGACGGAGGAAGAGGAGCGATATTGGTCGGACGGAAGTGTCCCCTCGGGAAAACGGGAGGAGCGTCGTCTCGTCCCCGATCCGATAAAACGAAAAAGGAACCCCCCTGCGGCATCGCCGCCGCCACTCTCCTACGTCCACGTGACAGCGAGTTCGCCAATAAAATTCAAATAAACTCCGACCGTGCATACTAAATTATCACATCTTCCATTACCCGGCCGCGTGTCCATCCCAGAACGACTTCTTCAGGGGTTCTCGGGACACATTCGCACGCTCGCTACGCGAAATTCCGATATTCCCGACTCCCAAACGAGGACGCGAGTAGCAAGGAGAAACCGTGGATTCTATGGTTTTCCGTTTTGCCATACTCCTTTTTTCATTTTTCTTATCGGAATAGCGCAATGCGACATCGCACTCCCAAATGTGAGTGTATTGGTTTAATTTCATTTTTGATAAAAGAAAGAGGGCAGGAGGAGAGTGCATTGAGTGGGATGATATTCAAGAGTAATTCGTGACGATATAACGTCTGCAATTTCTCAAGATCGATGTCATCCGTCGTTGTAATCATGTAAGCCATCTTGACACTGGTGGATTTCTTACTAAAGCATGATGCGCGTTGAATTATGAAAGAAGACTTTCTT